GTTAGTCCAGTAAGTGCTCTCCTCATGCTGACAGAAGGTGGGGCTAGAAGAAGCTTAGGCTTTACTAAGTAGTGGAAAATCCTGAATCATCTTTATCAGATTTACAGTCAGTCAGAGGTGTCCTCAGAGGCACCATGTACATGGTTCACAAATTGTTTCCCCCTCGGCTTCAAGGTCTAGGTTGAGCAGCATGGGACAGTAAAGCCAATCCTTAACTAATGTTTTGGTGAGAGTCAAGCAGAACTCTTTTTTTCCCCTCTCTCCTCTTCCCTCTCTTTCTTCCTCTCTCCATTAATGGAGAGAGGAAAACAGTTTCAAAATAATCTGATAATTAATAATGTAAAAATTTAAATAGCCAATTACCATTTCTAACAGACAAGGAAAGAATTCTAGAACAATGATCATTTCTATCGTTTAAAATGTACTTTAATAAAAGTTACGTAAGCCCTACCCATTCCTACTGTAATGAAAGGTTTGTGTTATCAAAATAGCATGTATCTGTGTGCAAAATGATGCAATAATAATGATTTTTTAGTAATTCGATTTAAAAAGAACTCTGGTTTAGAAATATTCATTCCTTTATTCATTCAGCATTTACCAAATACATCGTGCAGGTGCTGGAGATGAATTCAAGGGGTATTCAGGAAGAAAATTATGCATGAAGCTCACAGTGTAACAGAAATGTAGTCAAGTTTCATGCTTTTAAAGTTCCTAGTAAATTTTTTGAGACATTGTCTCCCTGTGTATCTCTAGCTTCTAACTCTTTAAAAAAATTAATTTCTTCTTTGAGAAGTTCTTTAATTTTTTTAAGTTAATTTACTTATGGGGGGCACATATCGTGACGTGTGTTTAGAGATCAGAGGACAGCATTGTGAAGATGGTTCTCTCCTTCCACCATGTAGGACCTGGGGATGGAACTCAGGTTGTCAGGCTTGGTTACAAGCAACTTTATCCTCTGTGCCATCTCTCTGACCCTTCTTTGCCAATTTTATACATGTATGTTACCCCCATCACTCTGAGAGGTTCCTTTCCTATTTCATGTCTTTTTGTTTTGTTTGATGACCCACTGACTTTAACAAGGGCTGTTCATATGAGCTGGGCATAAAACTATCCAATAAAGCTTGGTGTACTCACTAGTGGGTTCACATCTGAAGACAAAGGCTGCCCCTCACCCAGAAGCCAATGGTTCAGCAGGGAGGGTAGAGCCCCACACGCCCCTTCTTCATATGTAACTGGCTACTGACAATTTCAGTCTTGTACAAGGTCTCCAACTCTTGGTTCTTCTCTTTCTACCTCCTGAGTGCTGACACTACAGGCATGTGTTACCACAGCAAACTTCCTAGTGAATCTTGTATGTGTAATTTTGTTTGTTGTGGGATGAATTAACTGAAAGGTGGCTGAGAACCAAGTATCTTTGGAGAGACATTGCTTTATTTATTTTTATGAAAAAAGAAAATCAGGATTAAATATATCACTTCTTGGTACCCAGTCAGTGTTTGTTGCCTACTCAAGGCCCAACTCTTATAATTCACATAAAAGGGTAGAAATGTTTTAATACCACCACTCACTTGGGAGGCAGATTTCAGAGACCTCTGAAATCGAGGCCAGCCTGGTTTATATATTGAGTTCTAGGCCAGAAGGGTCTACAGGGTGACCTTGTCTCAAAAAAAGGGGATGATATTAAAAAAAGCATAAGGATGGATTAAACCCCAAGGAAAATATGAGTGCTATGGGAGGACAGTGTTTCTTCATCAGGGATGTGTAGATTACCTACATCAAAGTCCCCCTGAAGGGTGCACTTTGTGTTTTTGCTTCTTTTACCTTCTCTTCTCCCTCTCCCTTTCTCTCTCCCTCTCTCTCTCCCTCTCCCACTTCCTCCCATCCTCTCCACCCCTCTGTGGTATGGGGATTGAGGTCCATGAACATTGTTAGGAGAGAGCTCTCCTACTCAGCTACATCCCCAGTCCATGGTTGTGTTTTAATGCAGATTCCAAGACCCCAGATTTAAAAAAAAGCCGTTTTATCAGTAAAGCCCCACAGTCTACATTTTATTAGTAAAGTCTAGACACTGCAGTCTCCTCCCCAACTGCAGAGCATTAGCTTAGAGAATACTGCTAGGTCTAGATGAATTCCTTCAAACAGTGATGAAGGAGTCTGCTTTTTCATAGGCACTGCAAATGACTTTTGGGAAATCCCTGAGCATGAACATGGGTCAGTAGCACCCCAGTTTTAAAGAATGAGAAAAGAGATGCCAAAAATCACAGACTTATAAGACTGACTCTGGAAAAATTCAGCTTCAAATAGATTGATTCAAAGCATTTCTAGGAAAATGATTGCTAGGCGGCACCATAGGTTTGCTAAAACATTGTCTCTAGTAGAGACAACCAAACTTTGCTGCATATTAGAATTATTTAGAAAACTTTAACATCTTAATTATGTGTGTGTGTATGTTCATGTATGTGCAGATGCACATGTGTGTGTATGTGTGTGCGGAGGCCAAAGGACAACCTTGAGTGGGGATTATTCCTCAGGAGCTGTCTTGTTTTTTGAGACAGGGTCTTTTGCTGACCTGGGACTCCTTGATTAGTTTAGGCTGGCTGAGCACTGAGTCCTGGGGATCTGCCTGTCACCACCTCCTCTGTGCTGGAATTTCAAGCTTGCACCAACATGCCCACATTTTTTTGCTCTGGGTACTGGGACTCAAACTTGGGTCATCTTGCTTGCACAGTAAACATTTTACTGCCCGAGCCATCGCTCTAGTCCCAACATATGATGATCAATCACCATCCAGTCCCAATTCTATCAGAATCTCATGGGGCAGGACCTGGGCATTTATTAGTCTTTTATAAACTCCCAGAGATTCTGATTTAATGGTTCAGGCTGAGCACTGGGGGTTTTAGAAAGCTCCCTAGATAATTCTAATTGCTAACAAAGTTTGACAATCACAGGCCTGTATGACACTAGGCAAGTTGCTTAACTTCCTTGTACTTTGTATAAATACTGGGTAATTTTAAAGATCTCTTCTAGCTTTAAATGTCTGTGATTCATTTATTAAATATCTTGCCAGATTGATTCCCTTCCTCTCTCCTTCCCTGCATCACTTCCTCCTCCTTCTCTTCCTTCTCCTCCCCCTCTCCTTCTTCCCCTTCCCTCTATAGTTACAGAGTGTGAGTGTCGGGAATCTGTGGTGATCCTAAAGAATAATCTGGAGTGTCACAAGGCTTGTTCTGCCTTTGAACTTAACCTCGTTCACATTTTTAATCCATGATGTACAAAAGAGACAAAAACATGGAGCTGGGGAGCTCAGTTGGGAGAGTGCTTTTCTAGCATGCAGGAAGCCCTAGGTATGATCTCTAGCACTGTGTAAACAGACTGTGGTAGTACACACCTGCCACTGTAATCCCAGCACTCAAGAAGTGGAGGAGGAGGAGGATTAGGAGTTCAAGGTAATCCTCGGTTATATACAGAGTTTGAGTCCAGCCTGGGCTTAAACAAAGCAAAGTGAAACAAAGCAAAATAAAATAAAAAAGAGAAATTCCCATCAAATTTGGAAAAAAACCCAAAGTTTAGGGTGATTAATTAATTCAATACATAAAGAAATTGGTTCTGATTAGAATATCTGGTTATTGATTTAACTTTGGTGCTGGAAATTGGACTTCGAAATTAGGCATGACAAGCACATGTCCTACCACTGAGCTCCACCCATAGCCCTAGTTTGCTCATTTTAGTGTTCCGTTTCTTTAGTTGAGTTGAAAATTTGAAGGGGTTAGTCTAGTAGAAACAGAAAGGTACACATGTCAAGTGAGTCTGGAGTTAGTTCTCTGTGTTCCTAGAAAGAAACGCAAATGGGTCATTTTAAAGCATCACAAAATAGAAGAAATAGGGCTGGAGAGATGTCTCAGTGGTTACGAACACTAGTTGTTCTTGCAGAAGACCTGGGCTCAAATCCCAGCATCCAAATGGCAGTTAACTGTCTGTAACTCCAGTTCCGGGGGATCTGACGGCCTCTTCTGTCCTCCACGGGCATTGCACAACACGGGTGCACTTACCTACATGCAGAAAATACATGAATACACATAAAATAAAAATAATAAATAAAATATTTAAAAAAAACAAAATAGAAGAAATACCCTCCAAAGCAATGAGAGGATGAGGTGCTGTGCTATATAGAGGACTTCTGTTAAAAGCCTTCATCAAGTAATTATGAACGTAGCAATTCAGTGGCCTCCTCTGAAGGGCCTAGTAAGTATGTGGGGAAGATTTTGAGGCTTTGGAACAGCCTCAGGAATGCCTGGAAAGCTTGTTTAGGACAGTCTCAGATTATGATTTGTAAGTTTTGGGGGAGGTCTTGGGTCTCCTTTTTTGTGAGGAAGCTCCCCCCCTCAAATTGATTCTGAGGAATATTGCCAAAGAACTCACTCTGATTTGATTTTTGGCATGGTTAAATGTGTTGTTTTTGTCTCATAGCCTCCAATTTGTGTTTAAAAGCCTAGATAGATTTAATTGCTTTGAGCTTAAAGCCAAAACAACTGAATTATGTCAGCTCCTCCATATTTCACTCCTTGTATTTTAATCAGAAAATTATATACTCTTACATTTTGAATTTTCATTTTTTTGTGCCTAATTTTATACAGAGCTTGATCTGACCTAGGCATGGGAAACTATCATTTTGATGTAGCAAAAAAAAACTATCTAGAGCTGCTCGGTGGCTACTTCTGTGGTTTGGAAAATAAACAAGGATCGGATTATATGTGATCACTTTCCACATCACATGATGAACAGCAATTCAGAAGATGCATAAAATGAATCCTGCTGGGCAGCCCCTTGGCTACCATGTTGTTAACTGGTGCTTTCCCTTCCTCCCCCCTCTGTCTTCCTCGTTAGTATCTATGGACTGAAGGAAATCAGCTGAGTGGCTTCTTGAAGCATAAAGGGAGGGACTTCACACTCTGTGTTGAAACCAGCAGTTGAATTCGTAAGCATAATATGATTTAGACGTCATGGACTGTGGTACTTCTTCACTGAAAGACAACAGGTCTGAGAAAGGTGAGTGCTGGGAGCAAGCCTGTGCTTATGAATGAAGGGGAGAGAGTAAGCCCAACTCACACTCCTCGCCCATTTCTTGTTTATTCCCATGGTTCTCAAGCTGCCCTGTGTGATTCTGTACTAAGACATCATTACTTAGACTGGAGGTGAAACATTGTGGGCATATAGAAGACTACCTGTGGAAAGATATAGCTTTGAATTTATGCTATACAATAAAGTATTATCTAAAAATGTAGGTTTGATTTAATTTCAGTTGAAATGTATCAGTATAAAGTATGAATTTATAACTCAGTGGCAGGGGACAAGGGAGACTCTGTAATTTATATTTGTTTCCTTGATTCTCATGTAATAGGTATACCATACCTATGTGACATTTAGTAGCACCATTCATTGAATTTTATTAGATTTTATAAGTCAATGATCCCACTTTAAAAATACCTAGTCAATATAGAACTTCATGAGATTTGCCTTGCATTCTAAAAATATTCTAGTGAGAATGCTAATATTTCCAAAAGAAGTGGATTGTTTCTGCCTTAATGACACAGCTGCTTCTACCACCAAATAGTTAAAAACTTAAATATTTCCTTTATTTTGGGCTGAGGTGCTTTTTCATGGTACTGGAATCTAGTTGAAAATCCCTTGACTGTTTAAGAGACAGAGCTTTTAGAAACAAATTAAAATAAAAACAAACAAGCTGGGACAGTTCTAAGAATACATTATTTTTAAAACCCATTCTTTGTCATCTGGATTATGGATTATTTTCCAGGTTTTAATTCTATACCTTGGTTTTGGAAGTTTACCTAGGCTTAAGGCAGAGATGTAGAATTTTCTATACTAATTATTCTAGGATGTTTTCCTTTGGGAATCAAATGTTGTTCTTTCTCCCACTGATTTGTGCCAAGTTTCCAAGCTAATCTCTGAAAGTAGGAAGGGACATGGGGGGTGCCCTGATTGAAATCTTTAAGCATGTCATGAGCTAATTCCATAGTAGTAATTTATTAGCACAGAGGGAAGAAAGTAATTTTCTTTAAAAAACCCAAACAACAACAACAATAACAACAACAACAACAAATGAATGAACAGGGACTGGAGAGATGGCTCAATGGGTAAGAGTACTGACTGCTCTTGCAAAGGACCTGGGTTCAATTCCAGCACTCCCATGGTGGCTAACAACTGTCTGTAATTCCAGTTCCAGGGGATCTGACATCCTCCTCTGGCTTCCATGGGTATTGCATGACATGGGTGCACTTACATACCTGTAGGTAGTATACTCATACACATAAAATAAAAATAATAAACTATTTTTTTAAAAATGAATGAACAACATAGAAAGTTTTAATATGATACCTTGCTATGCACATCATGTGTTTTATCATACACAGATCATATACTTTGCTCATGTTCACCCCACCATTTCCTTTTCCTGCCTACCCCCCATTGTTCTTTAAATTTACTCAGATTTATTTGGTTTAAAAAGGCTAAGTCTAACTTTTAAAAGTAAGTTCTATCTCTTTGAATTGCTTTTCAACATTTCAACTGTTATACATAAGTGGAAGTATTAGCTTAGATATTTGGATTGCTTTTTCTATTCAAAGAATTTGTTGAGGTGTCATTCACATAACATGAAATTGATCATCATAAACATTTTAGTATATTTACAGTATGGCATTTTAGTATATATTTACAGTATTGTGCAAACACCACCCTTGTCTAGTTCCAAAATATTTCCATGACTCCAAAGTAAAACCCTGTTTTCAATAGTTTCTCTCTCTCTATTTGCAACTCTCTCAGCCAATGACAGTAACCAGTCTTCCATCTGTTTCTATGGATTTAATCCATTCTCGACATTTTGTGTAAATGGAGTCATATATCATGTGACCTTTTAGGTTTGGCTTCATCCATGTTGTAGCATGTATATATTTTGTACCCTTTTATTGTTGACTAATACTCTACTGTGTAAATAGGCCACCTGTTATATTTAACCATTCATTAATCAGTAGATATTACGTTGTAAGTTTTTTATGTTTTTTTCTTTTTTATGATTATGAACAATGCTCTCATGAACGTTCATATATGTTATTGTGTGAACACAGGTTTTCAGTATTCTTAGGCATATACTAGTCCGTAGAATTGCTGGGTCATATACTAACTTTACATTTTGAGAAATTTCTAAACTATTTCCTCAAGTGATTGTACCTTTCTATGTTCCTACCAGCAATGTGTGAAGGAAAAAATTTTCCATATCCTTGGCAACAGTTGCTAATACCTTTTTTATTAAACCATTCTAATGAGTATCAAGAAATATCTCACTCTGGTTTTCATTTGTAGATCCCTAATGACTAATGATTTTTAGCTTCTTTTCATCATGTTTAAGGGCCATTTGAATCAATTTTCTTAGAGAAGTGTCTATTAGGGTCATTCATAGCTCCTTCCCCCCATGTTTCTAAGACAGGGTGTCACTAGGTAGTCCATGTTGGCTTGGAAGTTACTCCATATAGCACAGATGGACTCAAAGTCATAATTCTCCTGTCCATCATCCTGAGTTCTGGAATTACAGGCATGTGCTGCCATGTTCAGCCACCAATTTATAAAAGATTTATTTTAATTTTAATTTATGTGTATATGTGTATGTCCATGTGTTTCATGTGTATGTGGGTGCCTGTGGATGCCAGAAGAAGGTGTTGGATCCCCTGGAGTTGGAGTTACAGACAATTGTGAACTGCCTAGTGTAGAGCAGCAAGCTCTCCCAACCACTGAGCCATCTTCAGCTCCCAACCACCCACTTTTAAAATTATTTATTTATTATTCTTTATGTACTCTAGATACAAATTTCTTACCAGAGATATATTTTGGAAAGCAGCTGTGCTCACGACTTTAATACTAACCCACAACTCAAATATATAATTTGAAAGTATTTCTTCCCATTCAATTAATTTTATTTGCACTTGATTCTTTATTGTTTATTATTTTTGAGATGGTCTCTTGTAGCCCAGCCTGGCCTTGAACTCATCTGAGGAGTACCTTGAACTCCTGATCCACCTGCCTCCATCTTCCATGTGCTGGGATTACAGGCATGAGCCACCGTGCCTGATTTAAGGCATGGCCCAGAATGGTTTCAAAATTTCAATCCTCCTGCCTTATCTTCTTCAGCACTTGCCTACCAGGTTGAGGCTTTTTCATGTTCTTTTTAAAAAAAATTTATGTGTATGAGTGGTTTGCCTTCATTTATGTACGTGTGCCTGTGTCCTGCAGTGCCCACAGAGCCCAGAAGAGGGCGTTGGATCCCCTGGAGCCAGATGGTTGTTATCTGCCATGTGGGTGCTGGAAACCAGACCCAAGTCCTCTGGAAGAGAAGCCAGTACTCTTAACTGCTGAGTCATCTCTCTAGGCCTTGTTTTCACTTTCTCGATAGTGTCCTTTGCAATTAAAGCTTTCAATTTTAAAAAAGTCTAGCTTATCTTTAATTGTCTTCTTGTTTTTTTGATGTCATATCCAGTAATCTGTTGCCAAATTCAAGAAGATATACACTTATGCATAAGGTCTTTGTAGCTTTAATTCTTACATTTAGGGTTTTCAAAATCTATTTTGAGTTATTTTCAGTTATGTGAGGTAGAGGTACAAAAACATTCCTTGTAAATGGATATCTAGTTGTCTCAATACCACTTGTTGAAAAGACTATATTTTTCCCTTTGAGTGGTCTTGACACTTTCATCAAAAATCAATTGACTGAGGACCAGGGCTGTAGCACAGTGGTAGGGTACTTGCCTATTCCCAGTACTGTTTAAAAAAATACACCAAGACTGGGGCTGGCTCTGTAGCTCAGTTAGTAGAGTGCCTACCTCACATGCACAAAGTTCTGGTTTCAGTCTCTGCACTGCATAAAGCCAGACATCTTGGCAAACATCCATAATATTAGCACTTGGGTTGTAGAGACTGGAGGATCAGAAATTCAAGTTCATCTTGGATACCTAGCAAGTTTGAGACCAATCTGGGTTATATGAATTCCTGTCCTTTCACCTTTATTTCTATTTTTCAAGATAGTTCTGATCTGGGGTCTCTTGCATTTCCATAAGGATTTTAGGAGCAAATTCTCAACTTTTTAAAAGACCCCATTTGTACTGTTGAGGAGGATTGTATTGAATCTATAGATCCATTTGGGGAATATTGCCATCTTAGCAATTAAACCATGAGATCTATGAACATACTATGTCTTTACACTTATTTAGTTTGTCTATAGGTTTTGTTCTTTTTGGTGCTATTATAAGTACAGCTATTTTCTCAATTAATTGTTGTTGGATTGTTCATTGCAAAGGTGTGTAAAATTATTGATTTTTGTATCACCACGATTTTGCAGACCTCATTTATTAACATAAATAGATAATTCTTTTGAATTTTTTTTTGTCTTTTTGAGACAGGGTCTCTCTGTAGCCCCAGCTGTCCTGGAACTCACTATGTAGACCAGGCTGGCCTCGAACTCACAAAGATCTGCCTGCCTCTGACTCCCAAGTGCTGGGATTAAAGGCGTGCGCCACCACACCTGGCTATGAATTTTTATTTGTAAGTCACATCATATGCAAATAGAAATGGTTTTACTTCTTTCTTTCTAATGCTTTTCATTTTATTTTCTTCCCTACTTATTCTGGCTAGATCTTTCATTAAAATATTAAATAGAGGAGGTAGAGAACTGGCTTAATGGTTCTGAGCCAAGACTCAGGTCTTACAGAGGATCTGAATTCCAGTCCCAGCACCCACATGGTGACTAAATGTAACTCCAGTTCCAGGGGAGTTTGACGGCCTCTTCTGACCTCTGTGGGCATTGCAGGACATGGGTGCACTTACATACACTCAGTCAATACACCTGTACACATAAAATAAAATAATAAATACAATATTAAAAATATATTAAATAGAAATGAAAGAGTAGATGATATATTTGTCTTGTTCTATCTTCATTGTCAACGTGACTGGATTTAGAATCACCTAGGAGATTGAGGCATACT